CAATAGATGTTAATATAATAAGATCTGACACAAGAAAAGATCCTATCTTAAGCAAAGTATATAATAGTCTAATTAGATACGGTTTTCCTGAAAAACCAGATAACGAGATATTAAAACCATTTTTTGTCAGAAAAAATGAATTACCTATATATTGATAATAATAATTAGAGAGCAGATTTTATGAAATTTGCGTATCCGTTATTTTTTGCATATAAGTCTTGATATTTAATATGTGAACGAATCATGCTAATTAAAAATGAATACAGCTATAAAAAAATTGCATATTTGCATATATTTGCCTTTGCAGAAAATAGTGTAAAAACGTTAAAATCGTCAATAATAAAACTGTTCAAAGCGGAAAATTCTATACCTCAAACAACGGGATATAGACCCTCCGAATTAGTTTTTAAAAACAAAATAAGAACTCGTTTAGATTTATTAACACATAATAATGAAGGTGTTAAGGCAAGTAGAGGTAGTCGGAGCGTGAGAGTATTGGAATTTGATGAGGGAGAATTAGTAGATTGTAGGGATTATAGAATGCCTAATAAGAAGAGTTGGGTATTGTGTACGATAAAATCGATGAAAGGTTAGGTGACAATGTTTATATGTGTAGGTTATTAAATGAAAATGTTGTGTGGAAGAGGCACCTATATCAAATTGTAAAGGCGCTTCCTCCAAATGATGGGAGTGTTGTTAACAGTGAAGAGAGGCGAGATATTGTTAACCATACTCATCAATCTCATCATCAAAACTCAGAGACACAAGAAGCTATTGTATCTTTAACTCCTAGTGTTGGGTTAAAACAAGAAGACCTCAATGAACCTCTTAAGGAAGTAGTAGAAAATGATGGAGGAGGTCGAGCGCTTAAACTTGTGAGCGGGAGGTATTGTTATATAGGGAATTTAGTTTAGAATTGTTAATTAGGTTTTCTTAGGTTGGTAGAAAAGTAAGGTTAAGTCGTTGAGTAACGTTGTAAAAGCAATTGTAAAATAGCGTCGAATATAGTAGAATTTAGTTAGATTTCATTTCTACATTATTGAGAAAAACCTTTCCCATTTGAGGCCACGACATCACATAATAATCGAAATGGATCATAAAATCCGGGGTTGACCAATTTAAAAGGCACTGTTGTTTCAGATACCACAATAAATTCTCCAAGGACATGTATTTACATTCCTAAGAATATTAAAGTGGTTCTCCTACCTCAGGTCAGCTCTAAGTGTGACTACGGTAAATGCTAAGTGTAACATTGTAAGAGGCGATGAGCAACTGATAATAGCATCCGTGTACTTACCTCAGGGAGCACATGAACCATGTCCAACATGGGCGATGGCGAACTTGATTAACCACTGTGACACCGGAAATATAAACCTCATCATCCATACCGATGCAAATGCCCACTGTCTGCTGTGGTGGAGCCAAGATGCTAATGAAAGAGGAAGAACACTAGCTGAATATCTTTTGGCAACAAATCTAGAGATTCTCAATCGAGGCTGCGAACCATCTTTCGTAACATCAAGTAGTCAGTCAGTAATAGATATAACACTGGCTACATGGTATATCTCACAATATAAAATGCAACGGCACGTCTCTAAAGAGGCGTCAGTGTCAGATCATAGATGGATTATGTATACGTTAAAGTGTATAGACAGAGAGACAAAGACGTACAGGAACACTAGGCTGACGAATTGAACTTTTTACACTGAAGAATGGAAGACAGACTGAGGACCTTCGTACGGTCGATTCCAATAGAATATAAATCGACAGAAGACATAGAGAAAACTTTGACCATTATCAACGACTTCTAATGTCAGCTTATGAAAAAAGTTTGCCCCCTAAAGAAGGAAGGTACACCATGGTGGAACCGAAGGCTCAGCGAACTTCAATTGGGGCTAAAAAACTTTTCAATAGAGCACAAGACACTAGGAAACAGAAGACTGAGAAGCCTATAAAAAGCACCAGAAAGAGGTTAAGAAAGATAGTTCTCTCGAAAAACTACACACACATCAACCAGGTCTCCTAAAGAAAGAAGATATTGATTTTACAGCCATTTTAGAAGATTCGGCTGAACTTTTGCTGCTGAGTATGTTTCCAGGCAGCACAAGGGTTATCTCCCATTCCGAAAAGGATGTAGCCTGTACTCAACCGGAGACAAGACTGGAGTGGGCAGTTGACAGCTTTTCCTCATATAAATCTCCGAGACTGGACGGTATCTATCCCGCCCACCTGCAGAGGGGAATGAGCAGTCTACCACCTAGTTTGGTGGCAAAGCTTCGGGCGTGTGTGACTTTCAGCTACATACCGAATGCATGGCGAAAAGTGAAGGTTATCTTTATACCAAAGCCAGGACGACAAGATTCCACCTTGGCCAAATCCTGTAGATCATTTAGCTAACATCATTCTTGTTGAAAACGCCAGGAAGATTAAGCGAAAAAGTCAACCTCTACAACATGCCTACATCCCGGAAAGATCGACGAATACGGCCTTACACACAGTTGTAAACAGTATTGAGTAGGCGATGGAGAACAAACTCTGTACCTTAGGAATATTCTTGGAAATTGAAGGAGCGTTTGATAAAACTACCTTCAAAAGCATGACGTGAACCCCGCCCTGAGTAGGTTGATGAATGGTATACTGTAGTATGCTGAGTAATAGGGAAGTATTGATTAATATCGGTGGCACTGAGATCGAGCCTGTTGCAGACAGGAGATGTCCCCAGGGAGGAGTACTTTTCCCTGTAATGTGGGACACTGTCGTTGATAACCGGATACAACAATCTTGGCTAGCACACAATTGGATACGCAGATGATTTTGCATTTTTTTAACAGGAAAAAAGGCAGACATATTATATGAAATAATGCAAGCCACAATAACAGTAGTCGAGAAATGGTGTAGCGCGTACACCCTCTGCGTAAATGGAGAGAAGACGAAATTAATCCTGTTCACTAGGTGAAGGAAAATTGGCACACTACAGATGCTAAAAGTGTTATAACCAGTTGGCGGAAATTTATCTTACAGATGCAATTCCCCAGTTGAAGCAAGGTGTGTTTTACGGCGAGTAGCGGGAACGCTTTGATCTGGTCCACAAGGTCGTAGCCAGTGCGTCGCTAGGAGTGTTTACAGCTTGTTAAAAAACTACTTCTATATTACTATATTACTTCAAAAAATAATACTCGATTTTAATTTTTCAAACACAGGACCCCAGATTTGTGATCTTGAAATGTTATATTATGTTGATATAGTCCAAAAGAAAAATATATTTGTAATCAAACTATCGCCGCGACAGCACTGGATCTAGCGTATGAAACACAATTCCGCCCGTTGGTTATAACTCAACGCTTCAATTTTCGGACGAAGTCAAATACCTGAGAGTTGTATTGGACCGATGACTGAACTGGAAGAAGCATGTAGGTGATAAAGTGGAAAAAGGACGTTCGGCTCTTTGGCAACATCGTAAAGTGGTGGGAAGGTCTTGGGGTTTAAACCCAAAGATCGCCCTCTGGATCTACACGTCAACATTCAGATCGAGGCTGTGGTACGGAGCTTTAGTTTGGTGGACCAGAGCCAAATAAAAAACAACAGCCCTGCAACTTGAACACGTTCAGAAAGTGGCGTGTCTCAGGGTTGCAGGAGCAATGAGGACCACTCCCACGACGGCTCTGGAGACACTTCTTTGCCTAGGGACTCTTAACCTTTACATAGAGGAAGCGACAATGAGGGCGTCTCTAATATTTCACTCTCTGGGAGTATGGAAAAAGCAAGGCCGCATAACGAAGCACACTCGTATGTTGACGGAGGCGTTCAACAGACTACCCCTGCAAAGTATGGGTTGTGACAGAATGGGCACAAAGTTAATACATGAGAAAACATATAGAATATAAATGAATGATAATAATTCATACTGTTCCAGAAACAAGGAATACAAGAAGCATTTTTTATAAACAAGTAGTAATATTTTCAAACATCCCGCCGAAATTTCTGTGTAGGTTTAATTTTGATGTTATGGTGTAAGTTTTGCCACTGACTTTGTATGCAAATTTTCGGAAAAATCGGGTGGGCCATTCTTAATTTAATCAATAAATTAAATTGCCTCATTCATCAATTTTTTTCATTCATTGTGTACAAGCAATTCTAAATAAGGTGTCACTCACAGCCACCATACATATCGAAATATCAAAGGAAACAATGGATTATTAACGATTCACGATCCGATTTTGCATTGATACAAACGCATTATTCTAAGAAAGCATAAACTCAGCACAGAAAGCAGAAACGGCTGACGATCACAATTTACGATTTTTTCTGCTTGTTTGATAACTTGTCTAAGTTTTTGAATAAAAGAAAATACTTCTAAGCATTTTATAATTAAAAAAAACGAGATTATCCTAATATAAAAATTGGTCGAAGGTTCTTTCTCCGCAAAACAGAGGAGGTGAGTAAAATTATTAATTAAGCTAAAATACAACAATTGTTGCTATAACAAATAGCTTAGTCCTCATAGCCAAATGAACAGAAAATTATAGCATGGAGTTTAAATTGAGATTAAATTTTGTTAGATAACTACCATATTCGTTGCGAAGGTGGGATCAGCTGTTGTATTAACTTTAGTGTTTGCCAAGTAGTTTCCAACTTCATTACGATATAACAGAAATCATATCAATTAAAAAATTATATTTGGTCATGATTTTATTAGAGCGAAGTTCAAACTCAGCAGCCCAAATCAAATAGATTCACAAGTAGTAAATTCCGCCCTGCAGACTTGCCTTTCTGTTTAAACGAGGCTACAAACGATACTAGTTTATTACTCAAGAAAATTTATCGTCGTATAACATTACGAGTCAGATATTAACGCCGTAATAAATTGTTATGTTTTCTCCCCAAAAGGAACTTATAATGTTATAAACATGTGAGATTTATCGCCGCGCTTTTTGCAGCAAGAAATCGAAAAACCTGATTCTCTTAACTCAACAAAATAAGTGTAATCGGAAACCCCATACCTTGCGCAACACTTCCACCGAAATTCCGTGTTGAAAGCGGAGTAGTTGTAAGGATGGTGGCGAACTTGCGAGTTTTTCCATCTGAATTATGGTCGACAACTGTTCCAGGTTGAGTTGTCTCCCACGTCGGTCGTAAAGAACTTCCGGAAAAGTCGACTGTATCTTTGAGATTTTTCGCAGAAAGTACGTCGCTTTCAGAAGAGTCGTCAGACCGCAAAGGTGAAGTGTGGCCGTAAGACGCCGTGCTGAAAGCCGGGGAGATGATTCTGGTCTGGAAAAAAGGTTTCCGTATAGAAAAGAGGCAATGCAATGGAAGCTCCGTACCATGTAATTTGATAAGGAACATTTATTTGCTATATGACTGCAATAATGCGATTTATGAAATGCACAGCGTTGTAATGCGTGTGTTTGCTGGGGTTATGAAGCTAAAGTAAAAATGACTTTTCCCTTTTTCAACATAATATGGCAATAATCCTCCAGTAAAAATAAAAGATATTCTCGACATAAAACTTTCCGTACTCTTTACTATCAAGATTTGCTTTAAGCAAACCAAAATGGCTCTAAAGTAGTAAAAAATGTTCTTACACGGGTATGTTTAAATGCATAAAAAATACACAGCGGAATATTCTACAATTTGTAGTTCTCTTTTGCAAACGTAAGTAAATTAAAGTCTAAAATTATATTTCCAGAAAAAATTATATATTCCCTGAGCAACTAATGAAGTTATGTAGGATATCCGGAGAATTTATTCGGAGCAGCATTCACATTCAACGACTAATCTAACACTTTCATTGAAACTAGATTTGATTTATGGGAGGGCGTATTAGGTATATACAAAAATACATACCAGTGGAAACGTACTGAGTTCTGTATCCAAGTGTTTAAACACAGACAGCACTTATTTTGTGTTTGTGAAGCGCAAAAATTCATATTCGGTTAGCTCTTTATTTTTTTATATTTGTCGCTACAGGCAATGTATGTTCAACAAAGGTGCGTGACACTTTGACTTCAACTTCACACATCTTTTCCCGCTATTAAAGCCGAAAACACCGTTCCAGTTTTTTAAAAAATGATTTAAAGATATAATGCAAAATACTCTCGCCCCCATAGCCTTATTAGTTTTGCGTGACGTACTAATTATTTTTCATGTATTCTAACATGAAACATACTAACAACGTGCAGTTCTTTAAATCTCTAATCCAGGTTGGCTGTGGAATAGAAAGTATCTGAACTGTCAGTCTACCTAGATTAAAAATTTTGAAATTTTAAAATTACCCATAGCTTACGTGTGAATGCTACAAAATATTTAAAAATGCAATAATATTTAACTGCTTACATATGTGATTTAGATTAATTTAACCACAATGCTACATAAAATACAAAAACCTGTCACCAACACGACGTCTAATGTTCAAGAACCAATCAAAAGCAAACAGCGGTGTAGCTATATATGTGCATACTTCGCCAACTCCTGCTGTGGAATCCTAGAGTAGTTAATATTAATCTGGGATTAGCTTCACATATTCGGTTTAATAACTTATTTCACAGTTGTGCTTTGTACTGCGACAACAAAGCCCCAATAGACTCGAAATGGGTCGAGAATTTGAGTGGAATAATTTGATTTTTATTCTACTGTTCTAACTTAATTATTGTTTGGAGGTCAGCAATTATGTATATACCTCAGTGCAATATTTGCACCCCAACGGGTAACAAATTTCTTTAACAAAGTTTTGTACTAGTATTATTTTACTATATTGCCAGCGACCCAAAAGTAGTATTTCATTTCGTTAATGGGTTTCAATATTGTTCTGCGCCACTATTCAACGCTGAAGTGACAAACTGTGATGATTCAATATGTTCTTCTCATGGTATTTTCCATTCTGTACAATGAAAAGATTAATATTTTGTTAGCCTCCTATAGAACAATTGTCATCAACTTGAGTAACGATACTGGAATGGAATGTTGTTTCAATTTACACCAATTACTCTACCGTTTCTCACATTGCACGTCATTAAGTAAGCATTTCTTCGTTTATAATAACACATATTACGTGAAAACTGTGTCTACGGTATTCACGAGAAATGTAATTATAACTCCATCCAAACGTACATTGTACATTAAATTTATTACACTTTACAGCCATTTTGATGTAAGATGTAAGCAATTAGGAGAAGAGGGAGACGAGCGAGGTCGTTAGGCACTAAGATCGAACAATTCAGATATTTTCAGAGGTTGACAAAAGTAGACAGTTGTTAAATAATAGTGAAACGTTTATAAATTACATCTTTGCGTTCCCGAACCTTTCTTATATCCAAGGAAAAATAGCAAAATATATATGAATTTTATGGTTATTTCGCCATAACCAACATTTAATACCTCTTACAACTCAAGCATTAGACCCTTATGTGAAAGTGCCAATCATTCAAATGCCATCTTGTCCCTTTCGTGCAGACGCGGATATTGCTTTTACAATTAATTCGCCAGTGCGGTTCTCCGCTCACCCTGTAATTTTCTTAAAGCAGTAATTTAGCTATGTCTATTTAAAAATTACAATGTATTAGAGTGGTTATTAATTAATTGCTCTTAATATAATCGTATTAAAAGTCTTGTAAAGTACCAAGAAAAATTGATTCATGATTATTTCGACAGAACTTCGCTCATTAAGTACAATACATAATACATCAAATCGAGCTGTTTCGAAAAATTATATTAAATACTTGATTTTGTGAATTTTATATTTTTATGATAACCTTTATAACTTAAAATAAACGTATGTATGAAATGTTCAAATACAAGTAAAGAATATTTCTATATTTCCCTAGTTTACGCTCAATAAGTAAAAATGGCCTCTCCGCAACTTGAAGTGTTTCTGTTTATACATCGGAAGAACGTCACGTAGAAATTAGTTTGATTTGAATGAGTTTGTCTGAGTACGATTATTATAATACTCATTTAATCATCACTGGTCAACAAAATTTAATTTTTTCTCTCTAACTTTGACATAATTGTAATGTTTTCGTTTAATTTGCCTCTGTGTTTGTAACAAAAAGCATAAATCTTATAACTTAGCTCAATTAAAAAAAATATGCATATTTGATGTTAGAAACACAAAATCAGGTAAAACAATTTAATTTTTGTATCTTTAACGGCAAAAAGTGTAGTATTAACAAAAGAACAACCATAAATAAGAAAAAAACAACGAATGTAGTTTAAAAAACGAAAAAAACAAAAGAAACAGCGAAGACCGACGTTTTTTCGGTTGCCTCCTATAGATTTTATTGGAGATCTCTCGCTTGATGGTCCCGCAGTATTCTGCGAGCATTTAGGTGTTCCATCGATCTTGGTAACGTCTTTCTATCGACAAAATGCCCAGATGGATGCGTTCTCTATGATGGTCACTCACGTCGTCACAATTTTTGGGGAAAAAATCAAGGTGCGAGTGTATAAAATGCACTTTTAAGAATATGTTAATTTTAAATTTTTTATAAGATGATAACATGTCTTCTACTTACTAAACGTAGTTTTCTTATTGTTTCCCAAGAAGTTTGTAGCAATTTGATTACAAAAAAATACACCTTATAGAAAGTTTCCTATTACTTAATAGTACGATTTTTGTATTTTTCAAAGGATAATATTTTAAGATTACTTTTAAATGAGAGCTAAGTTTTGGTTTAGCCCTTTATAATATCATTTAAAATTGCTAATTAAATAATAATTGATTGCTATAATAAAAGTTAGAACTTAGCTGTTGACCAGTGTCATTATTACTGGAGAAAATGGGGTGACGCGTTTTCAATTTGATCAATAAAATATAAGAGAGTGATTAATTTCATTAAATTTATATGATCTAGAAAAAAATGAGTACGGTGGTTAAACAGATATATTTTGATTAAATATTTACCACGCTTACGATAACCTTGAAACATCCCAAGCGTTGTTATTATGGATACTCCCCACACTGTTACTGTATTCTTCTTAACACAATTTCAAATATCATCGGCGAGAAGGACGATATAATAATAATATTAATAATGTGTTTATTTAAAACGGGTAGAAACACCCAATTACAGAAACCATTTAAATAAAAAACAATAAACAAACCTATGCCCTAAGCATTAGTGCAGCAAAAAAGAAAAAATCAAAGAAAATGTTTTAAAAACAAACAAACATTATATAACTCCAATTCTTAACTGCTTAATTTTCTAACCTATCTAACAAAATTCTACATATATGGTTTAGACAATCAAAATTTACATCTCATGCTTTACTGATTAAATTAAAGTGATTGCACATTAAACTTAACGGCGATCTGCTTAAAATATTTGTTCTGCAATAAGGCGGGTAAAGCGTTAACGTATGCCTGGAGTATATGCGTGGTATTAAGAAACAAATTTTGTTTAGCAAATATGGACAGTCAATACGATTATTGAGTACATTATATAAAAATTTTATTGTCAATATTACGCGCCTAGTATTTAACAAATTACAATTGAATCTACGTAATAAAGTAGGATGATCAGAACCTCGAGGTGGATAAGTATTATCGATTAAATAACAGACGAACTTTAAAAATTTTCTCTGAACAGCTTCAATTTGTTGTATGTGGACACCATAAATAGGAAACCAGATTAATGGACAATATTCTAGTCGAGACCTAATAAGTGAATTAAATAACAGAATCAATGAACTTGCGTTCGTAAAATCACGACAGTTGCGGAAAATGAAACCATACATTTTATAACATTTTGAAATACAGTCCGATATATGATGTGTAAAATAAAACTTATTGTCGAAAATTACACCAAGGTCTTTAAAGCGATCTAATCGAACTAAGTGTTTGCCTTCTATACTATAATTGTAAATAATGTTAATTTCTTTTCTGGAGTAAGTAACAATGTAACATTTTTCTTTATTTAAACAGCCGGTTGTTGTAACCCCAGTTGGCGAGAATATTTACATCATTTTGCAGTTTTACGCAATCACTTAGCGATTTTACTTCGAGGAAAAGTTTCAAATCGTCTGCAAAAAGTAATTTATTACTTGCTATAACAACAACTACGCCGTTAATAAAGATTAAGAATAGTAGCGGACCTAAATTTGACCCTTGTGGCACTCCTGACGTAGGCGAGAAGGAATTAGATACGAAATTATTATATTTAACACTCAAGTTTCTTCCAATAAGGTACAATTCCATTAAAGATAATAAGGGTTTAGTAAAGCCCAAGCATTCAAGCTTTTTTAATAAGATATAGTGATCAATCTGATCAAAG